CTCCTCCTCCTCCTCCTCCATACCCATGCAGTTCGTTGGGAATCCTGGTGCCAGCCCCGAAGTACAGGCACTGTCAGGAGAAGAGAGGGAACACATACGACGGCTGACGGTCTGCGGCCTACGGGCGCCCGCGTCTCGCACTGCGGAGACGTGCGTGCTGCGCGCTCGCAGAGAAGTCACCTTGGACTCTGAGAGTCAATGTTCGGCAGTTGGCAGCTGGAGGCGCAGAGGCGCTCAAATATCCAAGAGGCCCGCAGTCGTGGGCATATCGAATTCGCTTTGACGCACCATGCTGGCCGACGGCTCGCACGATGCACTGAATTCCAGAACTTAGTCCTGGTGCGCCTTGGCGTTTTCGAAGCACTGCATCCACTCCCAACCCGTCTTAAACGGGTGAAAAGCAATGTGCCACGAATCCTGACAATCTCTCCACCCCTCAGGGGGAGAGCAATGGTCCTCAACGAGCAGGGCGTGTTCATCGTAACGCGTGGCATTCAACACCTTCCACAAGCACTGGTCGATAAAAATGTCTTCACCCCAATTGCAGTCACCACTGCACATCTCCCAGAAGTGGTCCAAACACTTCTGAGATCCTTCCCACCATGTCTCCACTGCGCGTCTTGAGAAGACTTCGATAGGACCTCAGAAGGCACAAGAGTGCAGCAACAGCAGGAATCCATTATCGCAGAAGCACAAACCATCGAAATTCATGCGAGATGACTCGCGATTCGCCAACTGGCAATAAATACATCGAAACGCGAAAGACCGCTGAACGCCAAGAGTCTTGCTCTTGCAAATTGTCGGCCGATCACACCGCCACCCACGCGAGCTAAGGGCGCGGCCGTGGAGGCCGAAGTCGCAATTGTTGAGATATATGCCAAGCTCGTACTCTGCTGGCTGATGTTTCTGGATCGCGACCCGAAGGCGGTCTGGGAAGAAGACGCTGTCCTGTGTATCGGTCGGCCCGCTTCTCTGTCGTGTCCGGTCCCCTCCCTTTTCCCTCGTCCTGGCTGTCGCTCTGGCTCCGCGCTTTTTTGCTTGGCCCTCCCTGCCCTTGCCTTGTTGCTGGCCTGCTGTCCTGCACCGATGCAGGCAACTGCCATTCCCGCTTCAGTACTAGTTCGCTCGCCTGCCGAACTCTCCACCGCGACGCTGCGCGCACGGTCACCGACACCAAACATGTGTGCCTGTGTGAGTGTGTGAGGAGGATGAGGAATAGGAGGAGAAGATTGTGGTGATGGAGGAGGAGGAGGAACAGGAACAGGAACAGGAACAGGAACAGGAACAGGAACAGGAACATGAGCAGGAGGAGGAGGAGGAGGAGAAGGAGGAGGAGGAGGAGGTGTGTGTGTGGGCGTGTGTGTGTGTGTGTGTGTGTGCGTGTGTGTGTGTGTGTGTGTGTGCGTGTGTGTGTGTGTGTGCGTGTGTGTGTGTGTGTCTGAGTGTGTGTGCGTGCGTGCGTGCGTGCGCGTGTGTGTGTGTGTGCGTGTATGGGTGTGTGGGTGTGTGTGTGTGTGTCTCTGTGTGTGTGTGTGTGTGCGTGCTGATTGCGTGAGTTGCGCGTGCGTGATTCGTGGTGAGTGCGTGCGTGCGTTGCGTGCGTGCGTGCTTGTGTGTGTGGGAGGTGTGGGTCTGCTGTGTGTGTGCGTGTGAGTGCCGTGCGTGCGTGCGGTGCGTGGTGCGTGCGTGCGTGTGTGTGTGCCTGTGTGTGTGGGTGTGTCTGTCTGTTGTGTGGGTGTGCGCGTGCGTGCCGTGCTGTGCGCAGTGCAGTGCTGTGGTGCGTGCGTGTGTGTGTGTGTGTGTGTGTGTCTGTCTGTAGGCGTGCGTGTGCGTGCGTGGCTGCGTGCGTGCGCTGTAGTGTGTGTGTGTGTGTGTGGGTGTGTGTGTGTCTGTCTGTGGTGCGTCGTGCGTGTGCGTGCGTGCGTGCGCGTGCGTGCGTGCGTGCGTGCGTGCGTGCGTGTGTGTGTGTGTCTGTCTGTGTGTGTGCGTGTGCGTGCGCGCGTGTGCGTGCGTGCGTGCGTGCGTGTGTGCGTGTGTGTGTGTGTGTGTGTGTGTGTGTGTGCGTGTGTTTGTGAATGTGTGTGAGCTCTTCCACGCTGCCTGAGCTGAGCCGCCCCCCGTGCTCCCGCCCGACCTGACCCACGCCGCGCCGCCGCGACGCCAACGTGTGTGTGTGTGTGTGTGTGCGTGAAAGCCACGCAGCTAATAAACTATGAATTGCCCGCCCTCCCCCTCCCTTTCTCGCTCCTCGGCTCCTCGCTGTCCTGCCTCTTCCTGTTGCTTGCCCCGCCCACGTTTCTTTGTCGGCCCGTCCCGTCGTCGGAATAAGAGACCCGGGGTCCCGCGCTGCCACGCTGGCGGATGGCCGGGCGTGTTCAGCACTGTTTGCTTGTCAGACCTGTTGGGTTCACCGAGCCGCCATGCTATAGAATACCAACATTCGTTAACCATGAAACTTTGGGGGGGAGCTAGCTTCCGTATACGTTTGCCGCAGAAAATTTGAGGCGATCCCCCACAGCAAGCTGAGACATAACAAACATATTATACCAAATCACATTGGGCTAGGTTGGGTGAGACTGTATCCGAGTAGATTCGGCAACAGAAGCTTGCACCAGAAGTCGCACTCTGCAACCCGCAAGGTGGACACACACACACACACACACACTTTCCCCAGACGGTGCTTGCTCTTGGGGGGCTCCTGTTTTGCCTGGAACTGGCCCGCGGGGTCGCAGTCGGCATTTCTCGGTCGGTGCCCTACGGATGGTGCTCGATGGTTGGCCCGCGGGGTCGCAATCAACTGTTGGCAATCGGTGCCCCTATGGCTGATGCCATAAGCCTGGACCCCCGGTGGCTGGCCCGTAGAGTCACAGTTGACCGTTCTCATTGGGTGCCCTCTGAACGGTGCGCTGTGGCTGTTGCCTTTCGGTGCCCTGTGGCCAGTGCCCTATGGTGCCCACAAATCCTGCCCTATGCCCAAGCCCCCTCGCGTTGTGCAAAAATCACGACGGGACATTTTTCCCGTGTTCGGCCTCTGGGAGCCCATACCTGGCTTCGGGACCGTCGAAACACGACTCGGGATGAAAAGCGGGACCCGGGGAATGGGTCCAGACCTCTGGGGGTCGACTTTTTGAAAAAATCACGACTTCGGGGGTCTGGGATGCTTGGTACCCTACAATCAAGCTGCTACTAGACGGAACGCTGGGTAAGGAGCGGAGCACACTTCTGGCGCCAAGAGCCGCCTGGGTGCACGCGGAGCGCTAGTGGAGCAGCCATGTAGGGGCCTAAGGAACAGCGAGCTCCTTCCGAACCCAAGCTGTGTCTTATACCAACGTCCTCTCTGTACGGTTTGCGCATAGTGCACAGCTTGCACATATGAGCGTTATCTGATTCGGGGTTTGAACATTGGGCCGAAGGTGGGGAGGGGGGGAGGTCTGGCTCCGGACCTCTGCTCAATGCGACTGTTTGCAACAGTACGTCCTATGGGGGAGACACTCCACCTGCTCGAAACAGGCGCCCCAAACAGCCAAGATCTACTCCATGGGGGGGAGGAGGGGGGGATGCGAGGGCCCGCGCCGATCGGCAAAACAATGAATAAGAAAACAATCACCATCGGAAGTGCAATGACCTATTGTTTGGATTCAACGCGCTGGTATCAGATCTGCACGAACGATCAATTTTTGGGGCCACTCGCCAGCACTATCCCTCTGTAGAAAAATCCAATCACCCCCGCGAAACTTAAGCTGGAAATCAACTTGAATCGCCCACCTGGTGTGGATACTGTTTCGGGCGCCCCGTCCGGATCAACTTTGACGGTCCACTCGAAGCGGGTGAAATCGCCATCCGCCACGACAGACCTCCACACCTCTAAGAAGATCTCGAGGTTGAGGGCAGTGTTGAACTCGCCCCCGCTTTCGCAATGCAAGTCGCTCGCCACCTTATGTGTCACGACGCCTGGGGCAAGCTCGAATTCCAGACTGCTGTAGATCGTGTTCATGTCGCAGTTAAATATTCCGGCGCTGTTTTGAAAAGCGATTACGAGCAAAGACTGCTCCTCACTCCCCGGCACCATGACTGCGAAGCAGAAGAGCTCGCCGTCAACTTTCTCCGGTAGAGCGATTGGGCCCGTCGTTGAGGTCGCTCTCGATGGGGTCTTCGTGCTGGTAGTCTGGGTGTATGTCGCAGACGTTTCGCTCGTGAGAGTGCTCGTCAGGACGGTAGTGATGGTGGTTAGGACGGTAGTGCTCGTCAGGACGTTCGCAGTGGTGCTAGTGAATGTGGTGGTAGCGGTCGCGACTCTTGTGGTAGCGGTCACGGTTGTGGAAAGTACAGCGGTACTGCTTTTCTCTGGCGACTTGATCGAACTCATCGGCAAGATGGCACCTTAGATAGGTCCGTCCGGCCCAACCGGCTGGGCGACCGTCATCCCTCCCCCCGTCTGATCCGCAACCTGACCTGACATAGGCTGAAGGGCAGCTCCAGAGCCGCGGCACCTTGAATTTCTCAAAACGGTGGGGACGATCCTGACCGGGGGGCCGACCCCAACGCCGCGCGCGCTGATTGAACCGCAGATCGGCCTGACGGGGTGTTACCCTGTCCTCGAACTTGCTGCTCCAGGTCGAATCGCAAAGATCCCAAGCCGAGAAAATCACCGCTCAAAACTATTAGAGGCACGCTGTCGATAGTTTCTTGAGCTGCATCAGTGCTAGCACGAAAGAGAGCATCATTATCGCGCCGCAGAAGATGGCATAGATCACTGCGGCACGGACGAACAGGAAGATAGAGATGGCGAGCGTGCTGCAGAGTATGACTGCGACATTTCGGTGAGCAAGGCCACGAGGACAGCATCGCTTGCGACGGCGAAGACGACGCAGGTGATGCTGACCTTGATGGGGACCTTGCCACAAGCGTGCACACGCATGCAACAACGTGGTCCCGAGGCGAAATTCACTCGTCCTTTGCCTCATTTGGCGGGTTCCGGAAACCCTGAACCCAAAAACGTTGTCATCTCTTGGAAATGAACTTGTTACTTCCGCCGCCTTCCGCTGACCTTCCTCCGCCTTCTGCCGAGGAAGAGATGGAAACTCCTTCGATCCTCGAACGCAAGGCCCTTTTCGGAATGCCTCATTTGGAGAATCCAGAAATGACCCACTCGAGAAATATGAGGCTTCTACCGGCCCACCTGAGCGTGGGCCATCCAGCTGCGCGGCCCAAAGCTCTCAGACCACGAGGACGACATCGCATCGCTCACTGACATTCAGCAGCCTCGCAGCACAGATTTCTGCTGGGCTTATTCAGACCTCGATCGTTCTGAGCGCGCGCGACTCCCTGGGTGCGCCCCAGAACAGCATTCCCTCACTACCTGTGCGCTTCCAAGCATTAGCGGGTACAATACATCCACTCTCCCGGGTCCTAGGTCTGGGCTCCTATGGTTGCGACCCCCCGAAAAGGGTAATGGATCTGAACTCCCAGTGCCGCGACCCTCCGTGTAACTCGTTCTGTCACCGATGAACGTGGGACACGAGGCACTGGGCAGCAGCAACAACGGCGCGGCAGAGCGAACCGCGCACGAGACCTGAATAGAGGGATGGGAGGAGAGCGGCCGCGGAGGGCGCTGCGCTCCGAGCATGCAGAGCAGCACGTCACGCCGCGTGGCGAGGGCGAGCTCGAGCTCCAGCAGTAGTCGAGTCGAGCCGAACGGCCGCAGGCTGGCGGAGCACTCCGGAGTGCATGGGGGCCAGTGCCACCTCCGTGAAGCACGCATCGGGCATACAGGGAAGCGATGCTGCGGTCGTCGCTGCTGCCTGCTGTCGCTTGGGCGTGCCTTCGCGCCTCCACGGGGCCTTTCTTGGGACCCCTCGTGCCCCGTGGGGTCTGTTGCGCGGTATCGGGCCCTTTTGAGCCGTTGCGGGGCACGCGTGGGTTGTCTGAGGGCTCTCTCGGGCCCGTTTTGGGTCACCTTGACGGCCACGGGGGGATCTCTTGGGAGCCTCTGGGGGCCTCGCGGGCTGTCTTGGCGCGTCTCGCGGGGCCTGTTCTGAGGGCTCCCTTGGGCTATCTGTTGCGCCGTCTTGGGCCATCTTGAACTCTCTTTGGGCCTCTCCGGGAGCCCTCATGGCCCGCCTACGCCAAGAAGGCTGCACATGCGGAGCCATTTCAGACGTACGAGAACATGCATAGATGATGATTGCTGGTTTGCCAGGTATGGTCACCAGCGGCACTCCATACAGTCATGCTGGTTTCAGTTGTCATGCTTATCGCAGTCCATCTGCTTTGTTGCTGGATGGCATCATGCTGAACTTTGACGCACTCCAATTGCAGGCCCAATCTGGAATATGTTCCTACTGCGCGCGTCGGCGCCTTCGTTTCACGACTCGGCCACCGTGTCCCCTGTCACGTTGAGGCGTGGTAGAGTGTCAAGGGCTGTCCCACTCCCCCTTCTTCCTCCTCCTGCTCGTCCTCCTCCTCCTCTTCCTCCTCGCCCTCCGTTTTCCTCCTCCTCGACTTCTCCTCTTCCTCCTCTTCCTCCTCCTAGCAATTGCAGGTTCAATTCGGCGCACTCACGGTTGATCGGCGCCCTTGGAAGTGGCACCGCTGGTCAGTGCCACATCCGCCGTGGTGCGCCAGGGCAGCGGCGCGCCAGGCGGAGGCAAGGGCAGCAGGGGCCTGAGCAAGGAAGAGATCAAGGAGGCCGCTATCCAGAAGTAGAAGCATCATATTGCGCGAAGGCCTAGGCTCAGGGGCCCGATTGGCTGGACAGCGCGACGGCCGTGCTGTCCCTAGCCGACCCTAGGGAGGAGGAGGAGGATGAGGATGAGGAGGAGGAGGAGGAGGCGGAGGAGGAAAAGGAGAACGGCCCCGTAGACTACAACACCAAGTCGCTGCAGGACCTGCATCTGCGGCTCGGTTAGAAGGCCACGCAGGTCGCGGTGTCCGAGCAGCGGCTTGCGGAGCGCGATTCGGCCGTGGTTGCAGCCATCGAAGCGAGGGACTCGAAGGCGCAACAATTGGCTGCCCACCAGCGCGCCCATGAGGACATCCGGAAGGTAATCAAGCAGAACGAGCTGGACCAAGCGTTGCCTGACATCGAGGCCGACGACCTGCAGAATACCGAGGCCGACGTGCTCGGCATCGCGCAGGCTGCCTTCAAGGCCCTGGCGAAGCTCAACCTCCAGGGCATGGATGGCCTCGGGGGCTAGGGGAACGTTGGCAATCGGGTCGAGGCGCTCTGGGTGCGGCGCCGCCGGGACGCCGAGAGCGCTCGCCGGGCCGCGGCTGCTAGCGCCGGCGCGGCCGCTGCTGGCCGCGATGCTGCCGGTGCTGCTGCTGGGCGGGCCGCGCCGGCAGGCGGCGCCAGCAGCACGGACATCGACTGGGACGCCCCCGGCCCCGACCTCGCCGAGGAGCTCGGGACGGCGGGCATCGACACCTCCACGCCTGCCTGGGAGGGAGCAGGCCGAGCGCTGGCTGCAGCTCCTTCCGTCCGCCGCCCAGCGGCCGCGGCAGGGGCAGCACAGGAGGCGGCGCGGGGAGGAGCGAGGAGGCTCGGGGGGCGGGAGGGAGGGCAGACTGCCTGACCAGTCTGGCAGCGAGCGTGACCTCCTGGAGCAGTCTCCCCGTCTTCTGGTCCTGGCGGCAGCGGGGCTGACGCCGCAGCAGCCGCGCCCACACTGCTCCTGCGTGCAGGAGACGCGCCTGAAGCTCTATGCGAAGAGAAGTGGCGCCAGGAGCTTCTCAGAGGCGGCGCACACGCAGGGGTCCTCGGGACGCGCGCTCCCTACAGGGGAGGGCGCGCTGCCGTGCTGTGGCCTCCGCTCCGCTGGAGGTGAAGTTCGGCAGCTACGAGCACAGTATCGTGAGCCAGGTGCTCGACGTAGCCGCCCCAGGGGGAGTTGCCTTCTTCTCGGTCTGCGGCGAGACCGGCGTGGGCATCAAGGGCAACTTCGCTCCACTGCACTTGCTCATGAAGCTGGTGCTGAGCATGGATCGGCGGCGAGCGAGGGGGGAAAGTGAGAAGGAGAAGGTTTTCTCAGAAGGTTCGGAAGTCCTCCAGCCGTCTGAGAAGTTCTCTAAGCCTTCCCCGAAGAAAGCAGCAACTTCTCAGAAGGCGCCAGGGCTCCTGAGAAGTCCCGCCGCCTTCTGAGAAGGCCTTCTCCTTCTCATTTCCCCCCCTCGCTCGCCACCGAATGGGCACGCCCGGCTGGAAAGCCACGCCCGACGAGCCGACGGAAAGGAGCCGACACGCCCGAAAGCTGCGGTGCCGCCGCATCGCAGACGCATCGGCGACGCCGGGACCGAGAGGCGCCGCCGCCGCCGCCGTCTCGCGCGGCGAACAGCCGCGGCCGCCTCGGGCCAATGTGGATCACCTAGGCCGACTGGAAAGCCACGCCCGACGAGCTGCAGCCGTCGGGATTCCTTCGCGGGAGACGCGCGGCGCCCTCGCCGCCGGGGCAGGGTCCGACCTGCTGGCCCTTGCGGCAGCGAGGCCAGGCACGAGCTACGGCAGCAGCAGCAGCAGCAGCAGCAGCAGCAGCAGCAGCAGCAGCAGCAGCAGCAGCAGCAGCAGGCAGCAGCAGCAGCAGGCAGCAGGCAGCAGGCAGCAGGCAGCAGGCAGCAGGCAGCAGGCAGCAGGCAGCAGGCAGCAGGCAGCAGGCAGCAGCAGCAGCAGCAGCAGCAGCAGCAGCAGCAGCAGCAGCAGCAGCAGTAGCAGCAGCAGGCAGCAGCAGCAGCTCAGGACATCGCCGGAGGGGGGCGCCGCCGAGGCCGGCTGCTGGCTGGACGACTTCGTGACGTCGGCCGCCCTGGCCAGTCGCGTGGCGCAAGTGCCGGTGCTTGCCGAGGCGCTGCTGCGCCCCCGTTTGGCGGCGCGCACGAGGGGGTGGAGGGAGGGGGGGGGGCTTCTCAGGAGGAGTCTGCTTCTTAGAAGGCGCCGGCCTTACATCTATATAGAGGAGGCTCGCGCCTTCTGAGGAGCAGGGGGGGTGCTTCCAAGACGCCCTCCCCCCTCACCCACACCACCCTTCTGCGCGTCGCGCCTTCTGAGGAGCAGGGGGGGGGTGCTTCCAAGACGCCCTCCCCCCTCACCCACACCACCCTCCTGCGCGCGGCAGACCCATGCGCCCTTTCTCCCACGCTTGGGGGGGGGCTGGGCGCCGAGCCGGAGGTCACCCGGCCGGGGCGCTGCCAGGCGTTCGCGCGAGAGCCCAACGTTCGGGTGTCGACGCGGGAGGAGGAGGAGCCGTCCCTCTGGAGTTGCGGTGTCGGCGCGCGCTCGGCGCTCCCCGTCACGGCAAAATGGTGGCCGAATGTTCTGTTGCTCCCATCGTGCTTGCGGGCCACATGCCAGGATTGACTTCGAGCACCCGGAAACGTGTCGAAACGGTGTCGGACGAGTGTCTCCCAGGGCCCGACACGTGGAAACCTTCGAGCTTCGGTACTCTCCTGGCGCTCGCAACTCTCTCTGGTGATCGAGGATAAAGTAGGCTGGAACATCATAAGCCGAGTGGCTCGAGGGCGCTGCGCGGAAGCTGGTGCGCGACCAGGCGGAATCGACCAGGCGGAGGCCAGAACGCACAGGGGGCAGAGCAACGGGCCCGCGGACCTGGGGTTACGTCGGGCATGCCCCCCTACAGGCAGATTTTCGACGAACAAATATTCAAACCAGAAGGGTCAAACATAACAATGATAACAAACAAGCGTCCCCATACTGTTTTTGGACTATTTCTATCTTTGCGTATTCCTCCTGTAGAGGGACAGGCCCGACTTGACCCTAGGGGAGCTGTGGCAACGGGAGGCGCGAAGTCGGCACTCCCCTGTCACGGCTGCGTGGACTGGCTTGTATGCCCTCGTGCAGAAAGCCGCGACCGCCGCACGCGCCCAGCTGGGACACCGCGGCCGGGAGAGGTTGGTGGAGTGGCAGGGCAAGATGGAATCCATGGTCGAGGACTCGGAGATTAATAAAGCTGGGAAGCTCGGGAAACGGCAACTGCTGATCCTGATCCAGCGTACGTGCCTGGGAGGCATGGACGAGCAGACCATGGAGCTGCTGAAGGAGGAGCTGGCGCAGCGTCGGCAGGTCGTCGATGCGTCCGACCAGGCTGCTGCCTGGCATGCCTGGGCGAAAGAGGCGGGCAAGGACGGCGGCTGGAAAGCCACCGCTGCGCCAGGAAGTGGCAGGAGGAGGGCAGCGACCTGCTCCAGGGTGGCGACGATGGCCCTCCCATGCGTGTGAGCGGACATACATATGCGGTGCCCTGTGCGGAATGACCTCCCCTGGCTCGCTCATCCTGGGTTTTCGTGCTGGCGGCACCGCCGGTGAGGGTCGATGCGAGACTCCCGGCATGCACTCACGACGCCCATCCCTGCAAGCAGCAAGCACCGCCGGCGCGGGCCGGTACGAAACCCTCCAAGGTCCTCGGACCCCTAGGGGTTCTCGGAACCTCCGGCACGCTCGGAACCTCCAGGAGGGCGTGGGAGCGCCCGTGGGGGCTGCGATTGAGACGGTGCTCACAACGATGCTTCTTACATCGTGGTCTCCAATGCCCGAATTGTGTAGGGGGTGGTAATCAGAAGTAAGTGCCCCTATAAGGAGGAAGTCCAGCCAAACAACCAAGCAACAATTTCAAGGTTAAGCAAATTGCATGCGAGGTGTCAGCGGCACCTGCTACAGTGACACATCCTAAGACCTGTAACACGCGTGCGCATAGCATCCCGTACTGACAGGGCGGAGTGCCATCAGGCTGGCCCCAAGAGCGAACGAGATTACACACCTGCCCACTCAACTCACACCGCACAGAAGCCCCACAGACCCACCCACGGCCACAGGGAGGCTCCTCCCCCCTTCTCCCAAAAGGGGGGTATGGGTTGTCAGCGGTACCTGGTGCGCCCTGTGCGAATCCCCCAGGATAGGGAGGAAGGGGGTTTCGGATCTTCGGTGGTCCGTGGTGCGCCGGGCACGAAACCCCTGGGAAGAGAGGGGGGGGCGCGTGCCACTGGGGACCGCTGACGTATGTTCCTTCTGGTTTTTGAAAGAGTTGGGTGTCTTCACCTATTCGGGCTTTCTTCAGCTTCACAGAGTCGTATAAGAGGAAGCCAGGGCGAGGATGCCATCGGGTGAAGATAAATTCAGAGTCTCTGAGATTCCGCCGTTCTGGAGGGTGTCTCGGGCGCCGCGGCCTTCTCAGAGCGTTAGCGTTCCAAGACGCTCTGAGAGCGTTCCGAAACGCTCTGGAACGGATTTATCCTCGTGCTGACCCCGCCGGATCGTAGACGCCTCCAAGATGGCCTCATGACAGCACAGAACCCGGAACGGTCCAGGACGGCCCCAAGAGATCTCCAAGCTTGCCCAACGGGGGCCCTCCACGGTCAAAGGTGGCCCAAAGATATTTACGGGGCCCTAGACAGCCCAACCGACACGACGCGGATGAGCGTATCGGACGTTACGTCTCTCCCAAGCCTGGGCACCAAAGAAATCACTCATTACAGCCTTCCGCGCCCCTTTGAACAGTCGCCGCCCAGATGCTGGGCTGGCACGGTGGCGGGGCTTGCCGCATGCAGCTGGCCGTATTGTTCTGCGAAGTATCATACACTCGAGGGTTACCCTGTGAGCTCACCAGTTACATGCTGCCTATACCGCCACACTTCTGGGCTCTGTTGCATACCCCTTGTTTGGGCACTCGATGCAATGAGGAAGCGGACGATGAGGAGGGATCACTAATGAGGCAAGTTCACGAGCCGATGACGTCGGAGCTGGTTTCTGACACCGTGCCGTCGTTCAATCTCGAGCGATCGCGGCTTCCGGCGTTCCACCTCGGGCGCCCGCGCCGGGCCGCAGCCACGTCAACGCAACGCGGACATACCGGATGACGCCAAGAACCGCGAGAGCCGGCATCGCGAACAGCCTCGTGAAGAGCGCCACCGGGGCCCCAGGCCCGGGCACTCTTCGGGTCGGGCGAAAGGGGGGGATAGCAAAGGGGGGGTTTGAGAATCAGCTCACGTAGCTGATTTTCCCGGCGCCCCCCGGCGCCGGAGGCGGCCATGTATCGAGGAATGGGCCCCTCGGTGAGGCCGAAACCAGCTGCATGCAGCAAATTTCGTACCCCCCCCTTCCCCAATCCCCCCTTTTCGTCCGGCCCGAACTCTGCGACGCGTGAGGCGTGGCCGGTCCGCGAGGAGGGCCGCGGTGCCCGAGCACGGGCGGAGGCGCGCGCGCGGCGTGAAGACATCGCAGCGCGCGGATCGCTCTCTCGGCGGCGCGAGGGGTAGGGGGAGGGGGGAAGGCTTCTTACAAGGAGGCTGCCTCTTTGAAGGCGCCGGCCCTGCATCTACAGAGGAGGCCCGCGCCGTCTGAGATTCTAAGAACCAGGGGTGCCTCCAAGAAGCCTCCCCCCCCTAGCTCCCCCTACCCCCCCCCGCGCGTGGCCGACTCTCTCTCTCTCTCTCTCTCTCTCCTCTCTCTCTCTCTCTGCTGCGCGCAGGACGTGGCCCCGGGTACGAATGCCCGTGTGTGCCCGGCTTCTGGGGCCGCGGGGACGCCACAGCCGGGCGCGCAGGGCAAATCCTGGGGGGGCCCCTGCCGCATGGCCATCCTGGGGGGGATGGCCCGTGGCTCCGCACCGAGAGCCGCTCTGGCGCGAGCGCGGCGTCCCGGCCGCAACTGCCGCGCGCGCGATCGGCGAAGGCGACGCCCAGATCGCAAGTCTGGCCGTCAGTGCGGCCCCCCCCCCACGGCCGACGGCCACGCCGTCGTCGCTCGAGGCTTCGGCGGCCGTGGACCCGACCGGCGAGGCGCTTCCCCGACGAGCGGAAGACAGCGGACGACCGACCGCTCCACTGCCAGGCCCACTCTTGCGTGCTCGGCGGCGCCCCGAGGGGGGAAGCGAGAGGGGGCAGGCCTCCTCAGAAGGCGGCGGGGAAGGCTCCCGAAAGCTTCTCGGAGGCCAGAGTTGGGTTTGCCTGGGGGTCAGAGAGGGGGGTCGTCCGTAGGAATGGCCACAGAGGGGGGCAGGGAGGGCGACTGAAACGGAACTCCGCCCTCGCTTGTTTGTGTGTGAGGTTTTTTGGAGGTCAACCTGCTGTTTTGACGTGTCGTCGGGTTAGCCTGTGGCCTTCTGAGCCCCTGTGGAGGCCCGCGCCCTCTGCCTCCTCTCCCCCCGGGCGCGCCGCCGACGCGCCGCCGCTGGGGCACGGGGTGCGAGCGCAGCGGGTGCCACCCGGCCGCAGCGGCCGCGCGCGCGATCGGCGGAGGCGGCCCCCGCGAGCGCGGATCTGGGCGTCGCTTTTCATGGGGGGGCGAGGATAGGGGGGGGGGAGGAGGAGGAAGGTGCACTCCTCGGACCCCGAAGCCTTCCCCTGGGGCCCTCAAAGGGCCCCTCCTGTGGGCCCGAAGGGGCCCCTTTTTCAGAGGCCTCCGCCGCCCCCCCGATTAGACAGGCGCGTTCCACCACTCGCAGAGAGACTACTCGCAAATGGCCTGGATCCTCCGCGGGGGATCCACGATAAACTACGTCAAAGCAGACACGTGATCTTTTCGGACGTCTGCGAGTAGGCAGTCTGCGAGCAGTGGAGCGCGCCCAGTGAGTTACGCGACGCCCAACGGATCTGGCCGCTTCAGCTGCCGGCGCCTTGCCGCCCGGCGGCCCGGTCGACGTCGTTCGAGCCTCTCCGGCGCTCCGGCGCCCGACCCCGGCGGAAGGCGCTGCCCCACCGTGCGGGGGGGCGACCGGCGACCGACGAATGACGGCGTCCGACGGACACTCGACGGACACTCGACGGACGTCCGACGACGACGACGACGACGATGACAGTCGACGACGATGACAGTCGACGACGACGACGACGATGACAGTCGACGACGACGATCCACGACGAGCGAGGACAGTCGACGACGACGATCCACGACGAGCGAGGACGCGACGACAAGGGAGCGACGAAGGAGAAGGGGTCTTGCGCGCGACGCGATTATGTGCGGTGGCTTACGCGGGCCGCCAGCGCGGCACGCCGCGTGGAAACACAAGACGCTTATGCGCGACCTTACGCGGGCAACTTACGCGCAAATGTCGGCGCAATCGACCCGTTATTTCTTCAAATCGCCCAAATGCAACTTCTTCAGCAGTGGGGGTCGCTTTCCCAAGGCGGGCGCTGCAAAGCTTCGTTGCCCCGGTCTCGCCGTGGGGCAGGAACTGATGTGGACCGAATCAAGGGCGCCTGCCCATGGGCAGTGCTGCAAAGAAGGAGGTGGGAGGATGGGGAGGATGGGGGAGCATGGGGGAGGAGGAGGAGGAGGAGGAGGAGGAGGAGGAGGAGGAAGGAGGAGGGGGAGGAGGAGGAGGGGGGAGGAGGAGGGGGAGGAGGAGGAGGATGGAGGGGAGGAGGAGGAGGAGGAGGAGGAGGAGGAGGAGGAGGAGGAGGAGGAGGAGGAGGGGAGGAGGAGGAGGAGGAAAAAGAGGAGGAGGAGGAGGAGGAGGAGGAGGAGGAGGAGGAGGAAAAAGAGGAGGAGGAGGAGGAGGAGGAGGAGGAGGAGGAGGAGGAGGAGGAAGCCCCTGTGGCTCAGGCGTCTGCCTGAGAAGGGGCCATTCGCTTGCACTTGCGAACCGCTGTTCTCCCCCCTTGCCTCCCGCGCCGCCATGGTCCCAGCAGCCAGGCTCCATTGGATCATCCAGGAGCTGGCGAATGGCCGCCAAGGCGTTGTCAAACTGTGCAGCCACAGCGACAAGCTGATCATGCAGATCTGCCTGTTCCCAGTCTTGGAGCCGACTATGCGGAACAGCCTCATGATAAGTTTGCTCCACATGGTGCAGTTGGACATCGACAGCGCTATCATTGTGGACCACGGGCACAAGAACTCCAAAGGCGAGTCCCACATCCGTCTTGTCGTGAAGCCCCGTCTGGTTCTCTTCGAGGGCTTCTCTGGTACGCCGCCGGCCATGCGAACTGCGGTGGTGGAGGGCTCCGAGCGCCAGACGCACGCCGAGTCCATCGGGCCAGTCCTGGCGCACGAGAAGGGGGAGTCGTCCAGCGAGCAGTTTCCTGTTGAAGGTGGCGCGACTGGTTCGGGCTCTGCGGCGATGGAGAGCGAACCTTGTGCCAAGGCGGAGACTGATATTGATGTGGTGAGGCCCCAGCGGCACGGAAAGGCCATGGTTCCTCAGCAACACGGCGAGAAGCACACATTCGTTCCAGGCATGGCCGCGCGCCTTGTCGGCCTCAAGGCTAGGCCACTGCTAAATGGTCGCGAAGGCACCCTGAGCTTCTACGACGACGCTGCTGACCGCTGGGCCTTCAAGACTGGTGCCGAGGCCATTCGTATCAAAGCATCTTGTCTTGAGCCTATCGGCTCCCATACGAAAAAGCCTCTCGGCATGGCGTTCCAAACGGCCGCCTTCGAGTGCCAACATGTGGACCCAGTTGCTAACGACCAGGTGTTCCAGATATTGTACGACCTTGCTGCTCCAGAAGGGCAGCTTGGGGTGGCCGCTTTCTTCCTGCCTTTATTCACGGACAAGACAGCCTTCGACAATATGTACTGCCACATGGCCGCCAGGAGCCCTGATATCGTCTACCAGCGAGTGGCGCTTAGCTGAATTCTTGGTGTGCCAAGTGCATCCATTCTTGGGCCCTCATGCGCCATTCCTTGCGCCCCACGTTCGTTGGGTTGCGCTTCCCGTCAAGGCTGCTCTGCGCCCCCACGTCTGTTGGGGTTGCGCTTCCCGTCAACGTCTCTTGTTTCATGTGCTACTCGATCCTTCGGGCGAGTGCATTGTTACCAGTTCCTGCGGGCGAAATTCGAATGCGTCTCTTGTGCACGTGTGGACACCTCAGACATTCGTCTCCTAGGGCTGCAGGAAGAAGGAAGAGGAGGGGGGGGAGGAGGAGGAGGAGGAGGAGGAGGAGGAGGACGAGGGATGGAGGAGGGGGAGCTGGGGGGGATGAGAAGCGGGGAGAAGTGAGCGATCCTCAAACGGCCCCCCGTGTGACTGCCCTGGAGCTGCTCTTCTGCAGAGGCTCGGGCTGTCCCACGGGGGGATGGGGGGCTTCTCCACCGTCGGCTGCGCGCAAGAGTGACCCTAGGCTCAGGTCGGGCATGTCTCCCTACAGGGGATTTTGGACAAGAAATAGAGCATGCTACAAGAATTTGCAAACGTAGATTTAACATTGCTAAAGGGAATCGCCCCCGGACTACCTTTACACTATTTTTGAGGATTCCCCCTGGAGAGGGACACGCCCGACTTAAAACCCCTAGGCAAGAGTGACCTTCGCTGCGCGGCTTGCCGATCGTCGGTGCAGTGCGACCAGTGGCCTGCGTGGCGTTGGCCCCCCCCGCGCCCCTCGAAAGCCAGGCACTACTGGTCGCTCTGGCGAAGGGCCTACTGCATTCTCCTCCTCCTCCTCCACCTCCTCCTTCTCCCCCTCCTCCTCCCCTTCCGCCTCCTCCTCCTCCTCCCCCTCCCCGCCCTCGTCCTCCTCCCCCCCTCCTCCTCCTCCCCCTCCTCCTCCTCCCTCCTCCTCCTCCTCCTCCTCCTCCTCCTCCCCCTGCTCCTCCTCCTCCTCCTCCTCCTCCTCCTCCTCCTCCTCCTCCTCCTCCTCCTCCTCCTCCTCCTCCTCCTCCTCCTCCTCTCCTGACCCCCTCCTTCGCCTCCTCCTCCTCCTCATCATCATTATCATCGTCATCGCGCATCCCGAGGCACCAGAGGCCACGATATCACAACGAAGATATAGCCCTGCTATATGCAAGTCTGCCTCTGGCAACCGAGGGGAATCGTGATGCGCAACGCTGTGGTCGGTCAACCTCTCAGTCGAATGTGAGAGGGCATGCAAATCATTCACTGAAACGACGCGGCAACGCATGTGAGGCAAGCGGCCTGAACGCACACAATCGACAAACACAGCAAGACACTGGATTCAGAGAGGTGTGCGCGCGTTAGCTTCAGGGACAACTACAGCAGCACAAGCTACGATGCAAGCGGTCAAATCACACTCACACACACACACTTACAAAGACAACTACACTTGCAAGACATTGAATGCAAGACACGCGCGCACAACCGTGACATGGGTACTACTGCTGCTCACGCGATGCATCGGTTGGCGGTCCGATTCCACGGATGCCCGGGGTGAGCCGCGCCTGCCGCCGAACGAGGGGGCGCCCCGTGGATGATGCAACAGAGGCCGACCACTGCACCAATTCCTCGAGACGTTCGCTGACGAAGTTAACCTCGTCCCTGCGGCGCACAGAAGGCTGATCCCCCGCGCGGCAGCGCGCCCGACCAGGGAAAGAGACGATCTGGCGGTGCATCTCCTCCAGCTCCTGCAAAGCCAGCCCGTCCACCTCCTCCACGAGCAGGTCCACGTCGCTGTCCAGGCCCTTGTCGGTATAGGTGATCGTGTCCGAGGCGGGGTCGGGCGCAACCGTGGCAGCATCCAAGGCCGCGTCGCCAGACTGCTCGGCATCTTCCTGCTCCTCGCGCGCCGCCTCCAAGCTGGCCACCACGGCAGGATGACCATGCCGCGCGTCAGCACCAGCAGCCAAGCCACCAGCGCCAGCGCCCGCCACGCGCGGTCGGCCAACCGCCTGGGCAGTCATCCCCCGCAGGGGCCCTCTGGCCGAGCCACTGCTGGAGCGCCCCTCCAGCGCAGACAGAGATGCAACGTCGGCGGGGGGATGAAATTCGCCCCCGCCCGACGAGCTCGCAACCTCCCCCTCGGGAGCGGCGGTCGGGCCAGGACTTGTAAACATGAAGCATGGGCCAGGCAGCTCAAGTGACGAGAAAACAGTGGCCCCGCACGTGCACGCGATGATCGGTGGGAGCGGCTCCCACCGTCCAGCCCCAGGAACGAAAGGAGGTGCATCGGCGCGAAGATCGCAGGCTCCGCGACGGACACCCTCGCCCTTCCCGCTGCCGCCGCCCCGCTGCAGCCTGTTGAGCTCCGTGCTGCTAGCTAGGGCGATGACGTCCGCTGGAGTGTCGAAAACGTGCTCGGCCGTGTTGCGCCTTGCCCTGACTGAGCCAGGAATGGATCTGCCCTGCAGCTTCGCAGCCAAGACAGGAATGATGAGCAGAATCCTGCGACCCAGCTCGGACTCGGGCTCCATCGCCTGCTCGAGCTCGCGAACAATCTCCAGGGCGCTGGCAAGTCGCTCCGTGAGGGCATCCACCTCGTGCCTCGCCGCTGCGAGGCCCGCGTCCACTGACTCCAGAGCCCGCCTCCGCGCCGCCGAGCGCTGAGCACGGCTCCTCCGAGGATCGCCTGTCTGGCAACCCTTCCCGCAGCCATCTCCTCCTGCAAGCCCCGCCATCGTCCGGAAATGGCTATGGCGGAAAGCGGGAGAAACAGCTTGAGCCAAAATGGCTACGGACCTCCTCCTCCTCCTCCTCCTCCTCCTCCTCCGTCTCCCTCCTTCTCCTCCGCCTCCTCCTCCTCCTTCTTCTCCTCCTCCTCCTCTTCCGCCTCCCTCTTCCTCCTCTTCCTCCTCCTCCTCCGCCCTCTGGCTCTGCCATCAGACCCGCCGTACTTTGTCGGATTTTCCGGCTTTCAGCCGTACCGGAAACGCACCCCACACGTTGCGAAAAAAAAGACGGCGGACATCTCGGCCTCAGACAAAATCAGGGCGGATATTGCCGCAAAAGGTGTGGCAGAACACAGCGACGGCAGAGTAGGGCGGACATCGATATTGGAAACCTGATGTTGCGACGAACCCCGACCTTTGAGGACAAGTGGGCGTGACTTGCGAGGAAGAAAAAAACACATGATAGGATGCCTATGCAGCGCATAATGCTGATTTCAATGTTGTTCGTTTGACGCTGTGCCGCTTGGCGCATTGGGCTGGTTCCCGTGCTGTCCGTTTGACGCTGTGCCACTTGGTCGGGGCGTCTCCGACCGTTGTGCAAGATGGCCCACGAGGGCCACGAGTCGCCGAAAGATCGGTCCAGGCCGTCCAAGCTGGCCTCCAGACGGCCCAGAAAGCCCCCGAGACGCCCTGACAGGCCTCCAAGAGGCCCCCCAGGAGAGCTCCAAGAGTCAAAATTGAAGTGTTTTTTGCTCCAATGTTTTTTTGCAGGCTTCCGCGTTTTCGCCTTATCGGCCTCCCGACGCTCCAAGACGGCCCAAGAGGCCCCAAGGATCGCCCCTAAACGGCATGAGAGGCCCCCAAGAGAGCGCCCAGACGGCCCAAGGCGCCCCCAAGACGGCCCAACAGGCCTCCATGGCGGCCTGAGAAGGCTCCAGGAACGCTCCGAGAGGGGCCCCGTCTCCCGCCGGCGTTCCGCCCGTGCCATGTCCCGGGGCCATGTCCCGGGGGGTCCCCCCCAGACCCCCCCAAGGGAACACTAAACGGGAACCCCTCCGCAAGGACGGGGAAGAAAGCTTGAGAGGCAGGGGTGGAATGCCCGCCCGTATACCGCCGTTGGAGCAAAAAAACGCCCACCGTTCGCAGTGGACAACGCTGCTGTGTTCAGAGCCCCTGTGCCCCCAAATTTCAATGTAGAAATCGGGATTGCCTTTGCGGTGGAGTTTTGGGTGTTTCTTTATGCTGATGCTTGCGCCCCGACAACGGCCGCGAACGCAACATTGCAATGGGGGGTCCAGAGGCGGCACCATCAAAGCAGCTTCTGTGGATGAGCGCTTTTGTATGCCGGCAGCGGTACTTTCGACATCGCTCCACAGACATGCGACGTCCTGACTTTTCTCAAGACGGGGCCCCCGGAAGTCCCGACCCTCTCCCCGGGACCGGCTTTTCATCCCGAGTCATTCTTTGGACGGCCCCGAGGCCAGGCGGGGGCTCCCCGAGGCCGAAAACTGGCAGACACCTCCCGTCCTGATCTCCTCACGTCGCGATCACGTCTGGGTCCAAAAACGACGGATCCGACGTCAAGTCCACGTGCACCCGAGACCGGCGTTCCGCCCCGCGCGCCCAGCACGATGGTCATGCGCGGGCTGCCGTCCTCGGCGGCGGCCCCCGCGCCGCAGAGGCCCGACGAGACGCCCCTCGCCTTGTGGCGGCTGTCCTGGGGGGGGAGGAGGGGGAGGAGGAGGAGGAGGAGGAGGAGGAGGAGGAGGAGGAGGAGGAGGAGGAGGAGGAGGAGAGGAGAGGAGGAGGAGGGAGGAGGAGGAGGAGGAGGAGGAGGAGGAGGAGGAGGAGGAGGAGGACCAGTGTAAACCCAAGAGGCATCAACGATGTTGGAATAAACCCTCCCTCCAAGCTCCCTCTTCATAGGCCCCCGACAACGGTTCATTTCCATTGAAGGAACTGCCTCGCTGGAAAACAACCGTTTGAAGACCCTGCAGCATGCTAAAACATTGTTCTCGGGATTCCAGTGCCACGGATCAACCTGACTGTTGCGTGTTGACGATCGAGAATTGTGCCAGAACGCCATTCCTGGGACATCAACACAGCGGATCAATGTAACTGTTGCGCCCGCGTAGTTCTGAATCTTTTCAAAACACCATTTCTGGTACGTTGATGATGGGAATTCGTGAAACTCTTGCATATTTTAACGAATGCGCGCGGCGCTAAGGCGAGAACCACATTTCGAAGAGGAGCCGCCCTCAATCTGTAAAACTGTTGCACATTTTGAGCACGAATAAGCGCCGCGCTAAGGCGACAACCACATTTCGCAAAGCAACCGCCGTCAATATGTGAAGCTCTGCTGATATGGATGGATGGCATGTTCTTAAGCCCCAAGTGGCTACAGTACTTCAACTCACAATCACGTGCATGTTGCATGGATGTCCGCACGCCTCCTCAGCGCGGCACCCTCGAGGGTGCAAGCTGGTCTTAGCAACTTGCACTCGTCCGTAGCTCGAACTCGTGGCTCCAGCGCATCATCGGGTGATCAGTCCGATCGACGCTGAAGCGAAAAGTGTGCTCTGGATACGCTCCGCCAGAGCACATTGAAACCAAACGCGTTGTACCGGTCTTTGCCTCTGTTGCTGCCTGCAGCTGTCACTAAAGCGGGCTGTGGCCTACAGCCTCGCGCCAGCTACCTTCATCGCCTGCGGGACCCTCTTAACCCCACGACACTTCTGGCAGGGGTACGAACCGAGGCTGAGAGTGATGCCTCGCATACGTGCAAGGGCCCTGACTGCCCTTGTCCTCGCAGCGCTTGGGTGCTGGCTTCACCTGCACGCCTGTGTCTCGAAGGCATACGGTCACCTCACGGCGCTCCTCACGGCGCTCCTTCAGCACGTGCCTCTCGATGAGCACGCCCGTCACAATCCCAATGAGGGTCAGGATGACCATCATGAACGCGGTGAACTGCATGCCACCGCCCTGTGACTCGCTCCCGCCTGCCGAGCAGGTGGGCTCCACGACCGTCCCGTCGGCGGTCTGCGCCGCTGCGAACAGCAGCAGCGTCGCCAACACCTGGCTGGCCTCGTCCGTCCCGAAGCCAGCGATCTTCCTGCTCACGATCCCGAGGTTCCTCATGCAGGTCTGCAGCGCCTCCTGCTCCAGCGGCTTCGTGCCTGCATCACTCGGGTTCTTCTTGCCGTCCACTCTCTCAACCTCGAACTGCTTCTCCCTCAGCGCCTGCTGGTGCCAAAGGTACCTGGTCTGTAGATGCCGTACACGCCCGCAGCCCACTCTGTGGATCATCCCACGGGCCGCGTCTGAGTCCGTGCGAATGATCAGCCTCACGTCTGCTGGAACACCAGCTCCTAGCTCAGCGATCTCGAGCATCACCTGCTTGACCGTGATGCCGCGCGCTGCCGCTGAGCCGATGGCGTAGAACTCCGACTCTGCGCTGCTGAGTGCAACAGCGCCCTGCGTGATGCTCCAGCTCTCGATGAGATGACCAGCGCCAGGATCTCCGACCTGGATGGTCCCCGCCGACGTGCTCTTGCATGTCTGTACGTCGCCGCTCCAATCGCCGTCGGAGTAGACCACCACATCCGTCCACTTCTCCTGGTAGAGGAACTCGATCCCGACGTCATGCGTCCCCGCGAGGTACCGTGCCAACCTCCTGAGTCGCATCATGCTCAGGCGCGTCGGATGTGCCATATCCGACGCCAGCTGCTTGGTGGCGAACTGGATGTCGAAGCGGTCTGGGCCGATGTACATGCAGATGCCCGTGCCCCTGCAGTAGATCGCCTTCTCGGCCCGCTTCAGCTCCTCCAGAGCATCCCTCGCGTTCTTGCCAGTCGCTCGGCTGACAGGCGTCGGGGAAGGCTTCACGTTCTTCAGGTCCAGCAACGTGCTCAGGTTCTCGAAGTGCTTCGGGTCAGGCAGCAGCATGAACCCCTTCGCGCTCCAAAGTAGAAGCCGTCGTAGAACCAGGCCTTGCTCTTCAGCGGCTGGACCAACTCTCGGGAGGATCTTGGCCTTGAAGCTGCCCGTGATCATTGCGTCCACCTTGTCCAGCTCGTGCGGCTCGCCCTCGGTGTAGAAGTCATCCCCGTGGAAGCCTGACAGGCAGTCCCACTCGCTGTGGTACGCCAAGCAGGGGACCGTCGACAAGATGTTCCAGCCATGCTCTCGGTACGTGTCACGCACCAGCTGCTGGAAGTCAGCGCTCGACTCACGCATCCCGTACAGCGCCTTACTCACCAGCCAGAGCCAGTCGGGGCAGTTCAGCTCCTTCGGAGGCTCGGCCCACACGGGCTCCTTCAGCTCAGCGTGGAAGAAGGCCACCGAGATGTCGTGGGCTGCGAGCTGCCTCGAGCTGCCTCTCGACGCCAACCTCGAGATCACCAGCTTCAGCGCCCATGTCGGTGGTGTCCCCGCGTAGTGCTCTGGTGCAAAGACGCCTCCTGCGAAGTCGCGCGCGACGATCCGCGATCGCACACAGTCTGGACCCTTCCTGGTGTGGAAGAGCTTGGTGGAGATCACCCTCTCACCAGCTGGCTTCTCGCTGCGCTTCTTCCAGACCATCACCTCGAACTCGTCCATCTCGTCGAGCTCGCGCTTCACGCCCTGCAGCACCAGCTCCTTCGGCAGCACCTCGCCCGTGAACTGGTCGTGGAAGCTCCCCGCGAACAGCTCCCCGTCGAAGGTTGGAGGTGGGACCTCCTCCTCGCAGAGGGCTCCTAAAGTCATGGGTTCACTGACTGGGTCGGTGTCCATGGGCGCAGCGGGAACCACCTCGATCACTGGCCTCTTTCTTGCTGGTTCGGCTGCTTCGGCATCTCTCTCTCTCTTCGGTGCTGCAGCTGCTGGCAGTTGTAGTCCTGGAGGTGGACTTATCTCCTGCTGCGGTGCTGGAGCTGCCTGTTGTGGTACTGGCCTCGCAGCCTCGGCGCCTGCGGCACCCACAGCTGGCTGCAGCTGGATCGCCTGCTCAGCCTGCGCCTTGAAGATCTCCTCGAACCGAGCCCTGCACGCCACCGTGTGCACGCTGGACAGCCCCAGGCAAGCTGGGCAGTCTGGGCTCTCGCCGTGCTCCTGGATCAGGGCACGCGTGATGTATCTCCTCCTCGTACTCACCACCGGTGTCTCCGTCGTAGGCGCTCTCGGGTTCCAGGGCACACCGATGAACGTCCTGAACTCCTCCTGGACCCACCGCTCGCTATCGTCACGCCTCTTGAACGTCCTGCTGAACTCGATCCCTCGCGCCGTGCCCACGATGACCTCATCACTCTCGTCCCTCCGCCCGAGGAACACTCCTGTGGCCCAGCGAGGGTCGAGCTTCGACTGGTCCTTGCGGATCAGCTTGAAGTCTACAGTCTCGCCCACACACGCCAGGGGCGACGCGAACTCCTTGCCCTTGATCGTCGCCCAAGCGCTCCTGCCATCGCTCTTCGTAGCGAACCTCGTGAGGACGTAGGCCGCATGCCTGACCAGCCACGGCAGGATCACCGACTGACTCGTCACCTTGGTCTTGAACTTCTCCTCGATAACGGCCACGTACGTGCGGGTGAGTGACTCCACTCTGCGCACCACAGCCTCGATCATGCCGTTCGCCTTGCTGTCGTGCTTCGTGGACTTCTCGACTGTCGTGCGGTGATGCTCCACCCGACGTCGGCGTAGCTCGCCTAGAAGTGCTTGGATGGCGGGCTCCTGGTCCGCCCGCAGGACGACTTCTCCAACACCCCATGCCTCGAGGTGGAAGAGCACGAACTCCACTGCAACGTCGTCAACTCCCTTCTTCGGCACCTGCGTGGCTCCAACAGCGCCTGGATGCCTCAGCACGATGACCAGTATCGTCGCCTTCTGCAGCTCGCCCTCCCGCGCTAGGAAGCAGTAGTCCAGCGCGAGCTTCGCGACGGTCGAGGCGGACTCCTGGCTCCTGTGCTGATCCTCGGTCGCCTGGCCCGTCAAGCAGTACCTGCGCCAGGCACGGAATGGACAGTGAGTGACCTCGTGCTTCGCCCTCTCGTCTGCGCTCGGCCAGACCGCTACCTTCCTGGTGGTCGCGCTCCTGGCCTCCTCGCTGTCCTCGAGCTCCACCTTGGGCCGTCCGCCAACATCCTTCGGCTCGTCGCTCTTCTCCGTCGTCGGGCACAGCTCGCCAGTCGAGCACCGACGAGCTCGGATGACGAAGATGCCGTTCTTCCGCTTCAGCTCGATGGACTTGCCTTTGCCGATGTTGTCCTTCACGTGGCTCGCCAAGTCCTTCGCCTGCTCGGGCTTCACGATGTAGCTGCCTCCGTCGTACAGCCACACACCGTAGCCCGCGTCAACTGCAGAACTCGCCGCCATGATCGGCTTGCGCACCCCTTTGGCCTCGAACTTCACCGTCAATGGCTCGCCAGAGCTCTGGTCCGTCATGCTCACCTCCTTCTTCCCGTAGTGCTTGAGCTCGTTGCCGTCGGCCTGGTAGAGTACCGTCCCACGGCACTCCTTGATGGCCACCTCAGGCGCCCACGAAGGTGGGCAGACGCTCCTTGCAGCACACGTGTCAAAGAGCAGGTCGAAGTCGGCGCCCTCGAGGGCGCAGCAGTAACCCGTCTCGATCTCGTTGGAGTTCTCGCCCTCCATCAGCGCGAACACGAAGCCATCCTGCTCGTCGTAGTAGTAGTCATCGTCGGACAGGGCCGTCACCGCCGCTGTGTCGCCATTCTCGCTCTC